AGGAAACAAATAAACGATATCAAGAAACTGCTTTTATTAACTCGTCACTGGAAAAGGTTACATGTACTCGCGTGCTAAAACAAGTATTCAGGCCTTTTATAGGCTCGGTAGGATCAGCCACCATAACAAATTTTAGCGGGCTTGGTGCTGATTGGTTCATAGTGCTATGACCTATGATTGGCTAATAAGAGAATAGCATTTGAAATGGCGTCTGCTATCGTTATTTGTGCTAGTTCTCTTCGAGTTAAACATGTAATAAAGACGGTTGAATTGAATAAACACAATAACAATATAAGAAAGAACTGAAACACAATTGAATAATATTGAATCAATAATACTAACGAATATCACAGTAATAATTAGGGAAATAACAGTGGTTTATTCTCCCTCTCATCGACAAAGTGATCAATTTCCTATATTATTATTTTCAGTGTTGTTTGCTTACATTTGTATCATAATAATAACAGTTCACAATTACAAGTCTCACAATGCTATATCTTTAAAGTTATGGAAATAACAACTTTAATAAGATGTAAAAATTATGTGTATGGTTGAAAGCAATGCCATTTATGATGACAATTTGTTTTGGTTGTGTGATTATATTTGTAAATAAAAATATAGCAAAGCTCAATCAACTGAGTCACCAACAGCTCAAAACAATGGAGAATGTACGGTACTTCCTACTGTACCACCCATCTACACATATCACATACAGGGCAAGTGCTGCGAACATTCAAACCATAGACCCTCTAAAAGAAACTGCGATATTTCTTCTGATCAATAAGTTGTAATCATTTAATCCCGTTTATGGTTCACGCATTAGTGATAATCTCAACAAAGTCTCGCAAGTTACGTGAAGAGGTTATGCAAATCACCGTGAGATTATGTAAATTATCAAATGTCTGTTTGTCACTCAAACAAAATTTCAAATTGGAGACGGGTGTATTCAGTGACGACGAGAAGTTCATGGATGTTTTTACGGATTTTGACGGCAATGAGAGTGATTTTAGAGAAGAAGAAAGCAATGTTGAGAAAGATAAACTGGTCTATGTTCAAAGCTACAAAATATAATGACACTTACTTGGATTAAGAACAGCTAAATTTATAAGATCCTGTTGGTTCAATCCTAGAAAAGTCACATTATCTAAATGCATTGGTGTATTCAAACCAAGATGTCCATATTTGTTATATGGTTCATATGGATTGGAGTTTTCTCCTTCTGTGTACACTTGTTCTCCTAGTAATACTAAGTTAGACCTATCAGTGCCAGCCAATCCCTGCCCATCGTTGTTATTAGGATTAGTATTGGAACCAGTCCACCTGGGAAAAATTACACAAATATGCATGAAAATTTAGTATTAATAATGTAATTAATTAATGAGTTAGTTCAACACAAGTTTTCAAAACAAAAATATTTTAAGTAGTTCAAATTTGTTAACACACAGTATATCTTGTCTGTTCGATCAAACAATCAATTCCTATTTTCTGTCCGTTATTTCTATTTTTAACCAAATTAAAACCATCATTTTGAATCAGAATAAAATTCTATTTTTAGCAAATATCAAAAATCGAAACAAGCAGCCTATCGGCTGAGATAGCTCCGCTGTTAGCAATGCACATTTCAATTAAAGAACTGAAGACATCATCAGAAAATGAACAATATGTATAGTATCAAAGCAATCGGACTTACAGTTTTTAACAAGAAGTCGAAAATATCACTTTCTACCAAAAATGACTAAAATATTCACCAAAATTAGAGAATTGAAGATATCATCACGAAATGAACAAATCTGAGAAAGGTCTACATGTAGTATCTAAATATGTAATATCAAAGCAATTGAACTATTGGTTTTTAACAAGAAGTCAAAAATATCACTTTTTA